GGTTTAGGGTTTAGGGTTTGTGTCACCCCCCACCACACCATTCTCAATCCCCCCAATGTTTCCAGAGCCAGACACTGCGCAAGACAATCCCAAAGCATTTTGGACCGCTTGATCGCGGCGTAGCACTTGCCCGCCTTGCATGTGTGCAGGCCTGGGCATTTTGTCGACAAAGGATGCCCCCCTAAACTCGAAACTCGAAACCCGCAAGCCCAGATAAGCACAAATTGTAAAGGGCAAAGTTAAAACGGAAGCTAGCACAGTACCCGTACCAGACACAGGACCTGAACCTTAATACAGTTTCTATAAACCCTAGGGACCCATCATTTTGGCTCACTGCTCCGGAATGCAAGTGTTGCCACGGTGATAGCAGCCTTTTGCAAGCATGTAGGGGCCTAAAGAATCGGGACGCTTACTCCTAGTTGGTAGGGAATGAAGGACTAAGATAAAGGATGGAAAATGGAAGCTGTTACATTATTGGGGATGATATAGGAGGGACTACTGAAAGGATCCATTCCTATTAGGGTTTCTACATTTGAATTTCGGGCTGTTGCCCCAGCCAGTTCTTAATTCCTCGACAACCTGTCGCGATGCCAATGCGCAAAGGTATCACGCAGCAAACGATTCTTGGGTTCTGTAGAAGCCTAAATTGTTCCCGATAGAGTTTGGAAGTACATAAGTATGAGGTAGCTCATACCATACTAAGCTCTAAACCCTGTGAACCCTAAACCCTAAAAGGAATCCAGGACCATACTCTAGAGAATCCCCCATACATCCGGGCTAGGGTTTAGGGTTTTGGGATAGAACCCAATGCAGCCGCAGTTACCATTGCATTCTGCATGTTCCTTGCCAGTTGGTTCTCCCGTTATCCCGAATATGTTGCCTATAACTCCTTAAAAGCCTATATATTCCCTATCACTCCCTTAGACTCGATATATCCCCTAAAACTCCCTTAAACCCATATGTCCCTTATAGCCTCCCTATCAAGGAATCCAGAGTATTGGGGCAATCATTGCGGCTCTTGTAGCGTCTTTCAGTGGGAGGAGGGCAGAGCCCTAAACTGTAGGACCCGGTTTAGGCTTGAGGGCCTTGTAGGCTTTAGGGTTTAGGGTTTAGGCTTTAGGGTCTAGGCTTCAGGGTTTGGAGCCCTTCAAACCTTTCTTGCTCTAAAGCCCAGTCCTCTCAAAGCCCTTAAGGCCTCACGCCTGAAAGCCCTATGCTGGATGGGGGAACGGTTGCCCTACCTGAGGTCCTGCATATATTGTACCATTTGTAACTCCTGGGGTACAAGGTATATAGACTTCCTCCATCTGCAGTATCCCCTACAACCCTCGAAGCCCTGACGCACTAATTACAGAGAGGTCCTTGACTTGCCAGTATCGGCGTTGAGCATCCTGCCCCCAGAAGGCGCCAGACGTGGCGTGCGTGTGGTATGGGTGGTGTTGGACCCCCATCCACTAGTAGGTACTGCAAGGGATACTGGTAAGTATATCAGGGTCTTTATATCTTCCCATCATACCGCTACTACTGGGTGGGCAGGTATGGATTTCCTTAAGATTTACGGGATTTGGTGGGTTTCTTGGGTTCTCTTCAGATTATTTGCGGTTGCTTGGGTTTCCATGGGTACAAGGGAGCCCTCATTCTTGTAAATATCCATATGGGGTTTCCAGAAGTCAGGAGTCTTGTTTTTCAGGTCACTACAACTATTTCAAAATGGGGTGTCATATGTTGCGGCTTACATGGGGTCCCACATGTATGGAAGCTGGCATATGATGATTACGCATACCAGAAGAAACCCTAAACCCTAAACCCCAAAAAAACAAGCTATACAAACGCGGGAGGTGGTCGACATCGAAGATTGCAGTTGTTGTGTTAGGGCTACATGGGGTTGTGGAGGCGGCGAAGGTCACTCTGGATCATGTGGCACTTCATCAAAACTATCCCCATACATTCCTTAAGGGGTAGCCCCCCAAGTCTTCTTGGAATCCCTGTACACCCCTAAATTCTCTTGGATGTGAAGCTCCTATGTAGGCTCCTTTTGGTGTATTCATAGTGGTGCAGTTCGAAGCTGTGGACAAGCTTGAAATTGATGCAGCCGACCGAACAAGCTAGCCAGGCGTGGATGTGCTGGCGAGCATCAACATCCGGACGATCAAGCACCTAGGCGGGCATGCTGGGCACTATAGCGTGAAACACCAAGCATGTACAAGAAGCAACTGCACTTTCGAGGTTTGGGTAGCTTGCGAGACATTGCAAGCATATGCTCATGCACAACAGCTTTCTCTGCTCCAGCTTGGGGAGGTACCCGGAAGTACTTCCATTGGGCAAATGCCATGCTTGAGCTGGAGCAGTACGAAGCCTGAGCGGGCGTAGCGTCGGCTCAGCAACACCTGAGACCTGAGACTTTCGCCGAGGCTGCGGTGTGAGTAGGCTGTTGACAAGTAAGTTTCATGCAGAGCCGTACTATTGGCCATGCTTGAGATGTAACTTACCTTTGGTTAGCTGGGAATGAAGGAATGGAAAAGACAATGGAAACTACTATAACGGGCTATATAGGGACTACTATAAGGTTCCAATCCTTCATTCCTAGTTAACTAAATTCCAGTATTGGCCGAGTTTGAGATGAGTTGGCCATTTTCGCGGCCTCGGCCCCAGAGTAGATCTGCCTCGACAAGCTGTGCGACCAGAAAGCGCTGGGTGCAATCTGGTTGGCGCTGCATTCAGGTGCCCCCGCGTCGCATGTGCAGCGGGCAGGTGACATTTCAATGCTGTCCGGGCGCGCAAGGAAGTGCAGCCGGGCAAGTACAGTAGTGGCACGCGCGTGCTAGTTAGCTATGTGATCGCTTTCTTATGCTTCAAACGAGAAAAGTACTTCGCAGGCGACTCTGCTTTGGTTGACAGTCCCAGCTTGAAAGGTGTATCCAGCAACGCCTCCGATGGTAAAACTTGTGAACTTTAAGCATGTCACTACCATTTTGGTTACTGTCAGTGTATCTGGGTGCCCATGCTCAAATCGTACGAAGGCACTGCTGCGTTACAGTTTGGGGATGGTAGTCTCAATGTATTGCTACCGTAGCTTTGAATCTGTTGCATGCCCTAGCTACTTTTTTGTTTACCTTCGCAACCGGAGAAGGGCCTGAAGCAGCTGTTGACTGTCAAGATATGGGGGATCCACCAGGCGACTGTGAAGTAGTTCCTCCCTTGATCTAAGTGGCGTGTGTCATGTCATATGTTACAGCCACTTTGAGGTGTCAGGTGTCCTTGTCATAAGGACCTTCATCTTTGGGGACCCTTTGTGTGAAAAAAGGTTCATGATATACTGTGATATACTATTTTTTCGTATCATATACCAGAAATATAGTATGATATACTCTAATGTACGCAACCTATAGCCCCTGGCAGGGGACGGATAAGCACCAGATCAACTTCGACCCGAAGGCTTGGAAATTCAGACGGGGCCGCTGCTCTGGGATTAGGGTTTGGGGGTTTAGGGTTTAGGGCCTGCTTTACTACTACAGCAGCTGCTTCTGCTACAACTACCACTACCACTACCACTACCACCACTACCACTACCACTGCCTGTTCTTCCTGCTGCATGCAGGCCAACGCAGACGATGTGAAGCTTTGCGCCGGATCCTTCACTGCCATTGGCCCCAACGACAAGTATGTCTCGTGCTTCGCTTGGCTCAGCGTTTTGGGAGTGTCTCAAACCATCACTAGAATGGAGACCCCATCTACATAGCCCCTATGTATCCTTAAACTTCAACTGAGGACCCCTATCTATGAAAAAGAACTAAACCCTGAGCGCACATCCCAATCCGTAAAATCCACACCTTGAACCCTGTTCATGATCCAGGGGCTGCCACCCCGAGTTCCACAGGGTTTAGGGTTTAGTGTTTGTGTGCCAGCATGCCTTATACCTGTAGGTATTCTGGTAGTTAGCAGTCACTGTGCAGCATCTAAGCCTGCATTTTCAGGCCTTCCCTCTGGCAGAAATTGCAGAAATTGTCTGGGTTGCTGTTGCGGAACTTAATTTAAGTTATTATATTGGGGAACTAAAATAATTACTATATACCCATTATGGTAACCCTAAACCCTACATACTCTATATCTACCCATTATAGCAAATTAAACCCTAAACCCTAAACTGTATATACCCATCATGGTAACTTAATTTAAGTTCCTTAACGGCAACCCAGTTGTCAGCATTCTCTGTTGGCTGGTGTCAATCAGATCTTTCCCTCCAGCATGGAGATTTAGGGTCTAGGGGAGCTGTCAGTTTCTTTGGGCATAGGTCATTCAGTTGTTTTAACCCTAAGGGCCTAAACCCTAAACCCTTCATGGTGGTGTGGGATATGTGTGGGTGGTAATTTTCCCCCAAGAGCCGTCATCAATCTTTGTCTTCCCCCTGCCCCTCGTGTCGAGTAGTTGACGGTCACCCTGCGGCATCGAGACCTAAACCCTACACGGGATTTGGGCCTTGTAATTCAGATCTTTCTTCCCACCGCATCTTGTAGTATTAGTATGGCTGGTTTTCTTCCTTGGAGAACTGTCAGCATTCTGGGATTGTCACTTTGCAGAATTAAGGCCTGCAGTTTGTAAGGAACTTCAGATTCTCCTCGCCCCTGTTCTGTTTTTTTTTTTCCGCGCTATTTGCTAGTTTCCCAAAAGAAGGGGACCTCAAAATAGACCCCAAACTATTGCAGTCCTCATTGTGGGGACCCCCAAAATGGCACCACTAATTTTAGGAAACCCCTATTTGCAACCGTGGCGCAAGGGGCAAAAGGCTACAATGGAACAGTCGTCAGCATCATGCAGTGGGCTGTCACGCTTGGTGCAAGCAGCTCTCTTATGTGGAAATGCAGTCGCAAGTTTGATTCTAGCAATTTGGCATCGCAGCTTCTGGACGGTTTTCACACCTTTTGCGGTTGAAGGGTCCTGGGTCATTGTTGATTTTTTTTATAACTTTTTTTTGTTTTTAACAAATCTAGCGTACTAAAACACAATGAGGAATGCTAGAACACAGTTCTAGTAGTATCCCAGTAATGAATCTGGGATGGAGCGTCACTCCTAGTCTCACGATGGAACGCTGCCCGGCAGAATTTTCTTTCAATTTGAGCTATAGTCTAAACTCCTTAAAGGGGCTTATGTAGGGGATTATAGGGGAGTATTCTAGGGGTTACTAAGGGGGTTGCTAGAAGTTGAGACTGGAGCTCATTTGCTGTTGCAACACTTTCTGATGCTCCGTGCGGATTTACGGGAAGGATCCCCCTGTAGTAGTCCCGTTCTAAAACCTAATCCCTAATCCCTAAGCCCTAGACCCCTAATCCCTAAACCCTAAACCCCTAATCCCTAAACCCTAAACCCCTAAACCCGAAGCCCCTAAATCCTTAACCCCTAGCCCTAAACCCTAAACCCCTCGTGGTAGTTTCCCAAAATAAAGAACCCCAATATAGACCCCAATATACTATAGTCCTTATTGGGGACCCCCAGAATGGTATGCCTAATTTTGGGAAGCCCCCTTATAAGGATGGGGGGAGCTCAGGTGCCCTTACTGTGGGTCCGTCTACCTCCCCTCCTTCAAGGGCAAACTGCGGCCGCCTCAGAGATGGACTGATGGTTGGGTTTTGGGTTTAGGGGTTTAGGGTTTAGGGTACAGGGTTTAGGGTTTAGGGTTGTGGTAGAGTAGGTTAGATAACTGGACGGTGATGGTTGAATTATGGCTACCTTGTCGGGATCCCTGTGGTGAAGGCTGTACTGTTTGCAGGTGTATTTGCAGACCCTAGCTTTCAGAAATACCCATTTGGTTCGGGAAGCTGAGAAGCAATACGCAAAATAGCCCTCGATACAGCCACACCTTTCTTGCCCTTCGTGTTTCCAGCATGATTCAGGGTTTAGGTGTAAGTTTCTACCAGTCTCCGTATCCTGACCACGACCATTGTCAACGTATGAGCGTTTGGTTGCCCGTTGAGGAGATTTAGGTGGGTTTTGTTGAATCTTCTTCTTTGCTCTTCGCTGTGAGATGCTTGGCTCGCCGCCGGCTTGCATGGTTTTTTCCTACTTTCGAGCGTCGAATTGCTTCAGCTCGGTTGTGTTGTGCTCAATTCGTCCTCAATTGTCCCGTGAGGCTGAGAGGACATGGCCAAACAATTGGGAGGGTCCCGATAATAAGGGTTATAGTCTTTGGGGGTTTAGCATATATTGAGGTCCCCCCGCATTTTTTGGGAACTGCTGCGTAGCTTCCTTGCAAAGGCCCCAAAAAGCACCCCGATCTTCGACAAGCTCCATACTTGCAATGTCTTTACGTCAGCTTGCAACCGTTGTAAACTTCCTTTTGTCCCTGAAACTAAACTGAAAACAAATATCCCGGTCTATGCTTTTCATCCTTATTTGAACCTATAAGCCCTCGACCCCTAAACCCCTTTCTGCACTGCGAGGTGTGACACGTGCCAACTTGCCGAGATCGGCGCCAACACGCCCGCGAGCCTGGTATACAATAGGGGGATGTCACTCTAAATTAGTATTTTCCATGCTAATTATAAGCAACCACCAAAAACGTATCCCTTATTTTGGGCCACCCCAAGATAATGACAATTTGCATTTTCTTTTCAAGGTGCCTCTCCAAAGTTGTTTTGACCTTCCGGCAGCCTTTTGTGGGTTGCATACACAGCTTGTACTAAGTATCAGGGTGTCTTTGTGGGCTGCATGTAAAGCTCCTAATGGACACCTCCACTCTCCCTGGAAATCAATGTAATTTCTGTCGCTTGTGTCGGTTATATCCCCTCCCCTACATAACCTATAGACTGGGTTGCTGTTAAGGAACTTAAATTAAGTTACCATATTGGGGAAACCCTATTATTTACTATATATACCCATTATGGTAACTTAATTTAAGTTCCTTAACAGCAACCCAGTAGATTCCTCAAACGGACCAAAAGGATCCCTGCATAACCCCTACCTCTTAGGTGGACCCCCCACGCAGTAATAGTGACTATAAGGAATAGTAAGGATTATATTAGGGTCCTCTTATATTACTATTATACCACTATTACAGGGTGGGGGGTCCTCCTAACCTACCTCTCATACACTAGGTCGGAACGTCAATCGGTGTCAGCTGGCGCATGTAGCTCATGGGGCGGGGATGATTTGCACATACATGTCGCGGGATGGGTCTGTCAAAGACTTTAAGTTTGTACTCTTAATGTTTGTAACCTTATGTTTTGGGTCCCAAATACACTTATTAAGGACCATGTTCCATGGTTGAGGGTCCCAAACCCAAGGGTACAAACCGTAAGGGACAAATGAAAACTCCCTGAGTCTGGTTCCTCCTGCTTCCCTCTGAGGCTTGGAATACTGCTGAGACAAATCTGAGGCGCGGAGAACGGTCTTCTGCCTCCTGTTAGTAGGGGAAGGAAACGTTTGCAGGGGTGAATATCGGGATTAGCGGAAGCCTCTCTGCGCAAAGAATCGTTTCACCTTTCGTGCAGGACAGCCGCAGATGTCGAAAATCCTAAAGGCACCGCAAACACCTACGCATATGAGGCAGGCAGAACCTTATTCAGGCAGACCTTTATTCGAATGATAATTTACCAAAGCATCAGTTCTCAGCGGAAGAGGGTGCTGCCAACCCAGTCTGTTGGGAAGGCAATGGGCCCAGTAGCGCCGGATTATGGACCATGACGGTCCGGAGTCCTCCCCGCAGCTCGCAGGAAAACAGGGGCCCACTGGGAGAGCTACGCCTTGCAGATATCCTCTTCAGATATGGGGTTGCCCATTAAAAACCGGCCGAGTATAGAGCCCAGTTTACTAACAAAGTCCTAGGACAAGTGCGTGATCTGACCCGACATGTGGCCTTAAACATCTTGGCGTCTAGGGATTAGAGTTTAGGGGATTTTGGTAACCCAAACCCACGACTCCCTGAATCAGGACCCCATTGCAGTCATATGATAATTCGTTACATCATGGTCTTGCGGATTGGGGTTACCAGAATCCTCTTACTTTATGCGTGCTACCCTCACATTGCAATCCTGTTAAGCCACCATGTAAGATGACAGTAATCCCAGTTTCCATTTGCTTTGCCATTTGATTTTCTATTCGACTCTCCAGTGTTCAGGGCCTAGGGTTTAGGGGTTTAGGGTTTAAGGGTTTAGCGTTTAAGAGTTTACCCCCCCCACCCAATTATAAGATATTCCCGACATATTATAATATACCACAGCGGGAATATTTCATGTTTGGGGGGGGGGTGGGGGTTCTGATATTAGGGAGAGGGGATCGGTCCACAACATGCAGTCAGATGATATCTCCTTTCTGCTTAGCCACACGGGTTTAGGGTTTAGGGCTAGGTTATGAGATTTCATAAGATGAATGCATGTGAAATCCTGTGGTCGTTACCTCCGTCACTGCTTGCCCCGCGACATGCCCTAAACCCAAAACCCTGGAAAGGTTCCCAAGCATGGGACCCTCTCAAAACATGACCGAGAGAGGTTTCTTCCTTTGGATCCTTCAAGGTTCGGGTCGTCTCTTTCCCTGTTGCATTTGAGGGTTGATCTAAAGGTCCTTTGGGAACTTATTCAAGGATCCTGTGGCTCTCTGAGAAACATGCGCTGGACATGTTTGTTCCTAGTTGCCAGTTTGGACACCGGAACTTCGGCCCCAAACTGCTACCATTTGGATCAGGCTTCGGTAGAGCGTGCGTTCTCTTCTTGCCATGGCACGGCAGTGGCGAAGAGGATGCCGCTGGGCAGAAGTCGTGCTTGCAAGAATCTGAGGGTTTATACGGATATCTTACCTAGTGATGGAAATTCAAAAAGAAGCTTCAAATGCACATTTTGCTCACGCCGCCCCAAGACTCCCGTTCCCCAAATAATCAGACAATCCGCGCCTTTGATGGACCCTAAACCCTAAACCATCCTACACCATAAAGCTTAAGCCCTAAACCCTAAACCCCTGGTTCTCGAAACTCCGGGCTGGTTTGGTGAGATTCCTCGGTAAAGGCATCATGAAAGGAGCTATAGTCTAACCTCCTGAACAGGGTTATATAGGGTACAGGGTTTAGGGTCTAAACTCCTTAAAGGGGATTATATTGGGATTATATAGGGGACTAGTATAGGGCTTATTAGCTCAGACAATTTTTTCGACTATAGCTCAAATGGTTTTCAAAGCATTTTCACATGGGGTCTTGACCAGTGCATGTCTGCTGCCCTTAGCGCTTCTATGACTGACGGCTCATACAAGCTTTGGAGATTCAGGGGGCTGTCTCCCTAATCCCGAAACCCTAAACCCCATCCATGGCTGCCTTTCCGAAACCTCGGAGATCCTGGCGTACTGCCAGAGACTTTGGAGTGATCGCAGCAGTGTTAGCACGAAGCACTAAAAGGAGAGAGCTCCATGAGCCTGATTGCATAGGAGCTATAGTCTAAAGTCCTTAAAGGGGGTTATATCATTAGGGGACTAAATAGGGAATATCATTAAGGGGGATAAGATCCTAAACCCTATACCCTCGGGGTTATTGAGTGGGATACTGAGAGTTTAGACAATGGCTCAGATGCTCGAAGAGGGAGGAGTCTAGGAGCACGTCATAGACCTAAAGCCCACAACGTGTGTTTAGGGTTTTAGGGTTTAGGGTTTGGGGTTTATTTTAGCCCTAAACCCTGAGCAGTAGCAGGAAAGGCGTTAGCAAGAGAAGCATCAAAAAGCAAGGAGTAGAAGCAGAAAGAGGAGCAGCAACGCGTCAGCAAGAGGAGCAGGAAGCAGCAAGACGCCAAGCGGAGGAACAAAAGCAGAAGAAAGAGTAGCAGAAGATCCGTCAACAACAGGAGGAGAAGCAACGGGCGTTGCGACAGGCAGAGAAGCAGAAACAGAAGTAGGAGCAGCGCAGCAGGAGCAGACGCGCAAGCGAGAGGAGCAGGAAAGAGCAAGGCGCCAGGCGGCGGCTGTTTCGTGTGCACCTCACAACGGCTTTTTCAGGCATAGGCGCCCCGGAGATTGCCGCCAACTTTGTGCAGCATGCAATGTTCCAGCACGGAATGCCTATCGATATCAATGTGCACTGCCAGACAGAACTTGATGAGACATGTCGAGCCCCGCATCGGTTCCATGACGTGTGTGGCCGGGCGCATGTGGCTCTGGTCTCCAAGCTGGAGAAAATGCACGCTAAGTATCGCAATTTGTTGGAGGCAGCCAAGGAAAAGCAACCTTCAAAAAAGCCTCGGAGTTAGTGCAACGCTATTCGAACTTGTTCCTGCGCGCAGCCCTGCGGTTACTTGAGGAAAACAACCACCTCATCAAGCAGGCCTATCATGAAGGACGAAACGAAAACCAGGCTGCAAAAATCCACATTTTAGTTTGCGCGCGAAAGGCCGCGAAAGCTTCGCGAAAGGCGCGGCGATTGATGTTTTTTCGGGAAAAGGAATTTAGAACAGCCCCCATGTGATTGCTACCGCCGCTATGCTTACAATAGGATTTTGAGTTCAGAATTGCTGTCATCAATGACACTCGTGTTTCCTAACTAATATGCCTACCCTAAACCCTAAATCCTAAACCCTAAACCCTGCACCCTGAACTCTAAACCCCTAGTTGGGGATCTTGGGTCCTGTGTCGTACGAGGCCTACCTTCACCCGGCAGGTCCTCTTTTTTTTGGTTGTCTACCCTATGAAAGTCGGAAAGAAGGATTTAGGGTGTAGGGTTTAAGGACATCCAGCGTCCAGGCGCCTCAAACCTTCATCCTGCACCCTAAAATGGATTGCTGTTAAGGAACTTGAATTAAGTTACCATAATGTAATTAATATGATATAGTAACTTAATTTAAGTTCCTTAACGGCAACCCAGTAAACCCTACCTCCAGTCTTTCGTAATGTGCCTACCTAGTCCAGGCCAAATTGCGGTACTGGCCGCGCTTGTGGCTGCCGTGGAATTTTGGGGCTGCAGGTCCTTCAGGGCTTAGGGTTAAGGCTATAGGGTTTATCGGTTTAGGGTTTAGGGTTTATCGGTTCAGGGTTTAGGGTTTAGGGTTTATCGGTTTAGGGTTTAGGGTTTAGGGTTTGGGGTTTAGGGATTTTTGGCTGTTCAGCTAAAAGGGACTATGTAGGCACCACAAATAAGAGATTATATAAGAGATGGTATTGGGAGTACTAAAAGGGATTCTCTAGGGACTATTATAAGGGATTCTGCAGA